ACATTTATTAGCAGCTGGAAGCCGCATGTGTTTTTTTAAGTATTTAAATTTGTTATTGTTTTATTTCATGGATTTAAGACAGCATTGGCTGTGCTTCGTCTTCATGGCTAGAGGTCAAGAGACGCAAATAGTTGAAGCAAGTCAAGCTCCTCCCCGTGCGCAGTTGAGAAACGCACAGACTGAGAGACTCAGATGCCAATGACCCATTGTAACGCCTGTTAAGTTTCGCAGCTGTTTTTCATTTCATTTCTCTTAGATGTTGTTTCTATTCAATTTGCTCTATGCGCTCACTTTGTTCTTCATTTTGTAGTTTATTTCGTTTTATTTCGCCGGCTACTTATTGATTTTCAATTAGTTTGTTTCGTTTTCCGCTAGCAAGTTTGGCTTTGGTTGCGATTTTGGTTCGTTTGCGTTGCGTTTGTCTCGCTTTTTTTTCTGCATTTTTTTTTCTGCATTCTCGCATTTGCCACTGCAAATTGACATACTTAATTTGTTATCGATGTCAGACGGGTGTGTGTGCGCGCGTGTGTGTGTGTCTTACATGGAAAAAACTTTTGCACTCATAAATTATGCAATTTGCCGTTTGTTTTGGCAAAGCGCATCGCAGCGATTTGGCCAGCGTTTGCRATTGCGATTGCGATTGCAATTGCTGCCGCTCGACTTTGGCAACTGCTCTTGACTTGGCCAGGCCCCTGCCAAAAAAGTGTCAGGGTTAGGCCAGAAATAGACACATGCCAATATGCTGGGTCCATAAACAAGCCAAAAAGTCGCGCAGCTGCATGCGCCAAATGGAGGGGGCAGGTCTCCATGTCTGTCGATCCTGTGGTTAGTATTGAAATCCTTTGCAAACTTTTCAACTGCACTTGATGCGGCAATCGTGGACTTGTTTAACAAACTACTTTAAACTTGAGCAGAGCTTAAGAACTGCTCTTCGGAATGTTGAGGATTTTAGAGTAAATCGAGTGCTGAAGCATATAATGCATGAGCTAAGGAGAGAAAAGATGAATAATTGAATTAATTATTTGCGAATAGTATTTAAAGCGGAATGAAGTAGGTGAATAGCAAAAAAAAAAAAAAAATTGTGAATTGCAGTTGATAAAACATCGATATAGAAAATATATTTATGAAGAGGACTATTTTTAATTTATTTGATGATTAAAGATTTAAAGTCTATGTACCCTTAAATGATATACAAAATATATTTCTAATATATCAAATAAGACTATTTATAAACTCGAAAGTTATCAATTGTAAACCTAAGTCAATATTTGCATAGAAAGCATATTTAAACTGATGGCATTTTAAATTTCAACAAATTAAGCCTAGTTTCGCATTTTCAATATAAAAATTGCTTACAAATGTTACACAAAAATTAATTCTCTTCACAAAGAGAAGAGCTTCAAAGCGTTGTAAATAATTTTATGATAAAAAGAATATATATCGACAAACTAGATTCTTGGCAAGACTGAATAGGCGCTAGTTTGGCAACGCCTTAAAGAAGACATAGAAAAACAAACACCATTAGAAAACAATGCCAGAGGTGAGGAAAGCATTTATGAATGAGTCGAAAAAGAAGAAACGACAAGAAATAACATAATATACAGGTTAACCAAACAAGAGCTCTGTCACTTTCAATGGCTCTATTTTAGCGGCTATTTAAAAAAAAAAAAAAATAAATAAAAATAAATAAATATTCAATATGATTTAATTATTTAACCTTGATTCCTTTTTGCGTCTGCCTATTTTTGGAAGTTATCAGGCACTCGCCTTTGCCCTCTGCTGCCTTCAAATTCCCTAGTGACTACAGCTCAGCAGGAAAAGACAAAGTCGGCTGATAATAGAAGCGGAAGTTTGCTCAAATAGCTAGACAATTCGCTCACATTTTGCATACTCCGCTCTGTTGATTTCTTCGCTATAAATAATAAAAATAAAACACAAACTCAAGCCTGAAAAAACCTCTGGATTGCGCTAACAAGACACCAGCTTAATGTTCACTGAGAGAAATAACAATGTACATTAGCACACATTAATAATTCGAATATTATAGAGACACACACCAAAAATAAAAAAAAGTGTTATTTTTAAGAGCTCTACTTAGTATTTTAAATAGAGTATTAAAGTTAAGTGCCATCATTTGTAAACGCGGCGCGCCCCCTCTCTCCCCATCCCCCTCGGCAGCTCTTTAAAAATGAAGCTAATTACAATGAAAAGTTTTTGCCAACAGCTGAACTCGAATTGTTGGTAATTAATTTATAAAATTACTCATGCGGCTAAATAATGGATTTAGTTTTTAGTTTGTTTCTCTATCGGTTTGTTTGTTTGTTGCTATTGTWGTTATATTAGTATTGTTGCATTATGCGAGGCCCTTGATGCAGTCAGAGAGCCTTTTTGTTGTATTCTTGCTGCGGTTTGTCGGGGCATAAAAATAAAATTTATGCGCGCCAAATGCAGTTTGTGTGTGTGTGTGCCGCATTTTAATTTCATTTTCGCAAATAATAATTTACATACAGATATGCAGCAAAGAGAACAAAAATAAAAACATAAACAACATTTGATGCTCGCTCACGAAGCGAAAAGGAGTATATTGATTGGGTAGTATGTGCATCCGGTTAAGCAATGACTGCATTAGCTGTGTACTATATGATAGGACCAGACTAAGAATTTGTAATATCTATATTCGACATAATACTAGCCTTTTAGTTAGTGCAGTTAAGCTAAGATGACTGCAGAGTTTCTGATTATATAAGATATTTTTTCGCAGTTATAAAAGACTTAAATTAAGATAAAATATTGTAGCTAAAGAGTGTTTTAATTACGTCTAAATTACGTCTAATGGAAGTAGTACTTACTTCTCTTAAGGCTTCTCACAAGAGAGAGCTCAACAATTCATTCATTCTCTATAAATTGTAATTAAAAATTTACACAAACGTAGGCGTGGCAATTAAATATACCTTAACCCTTCCAATGTTTTAAAATTAACTAAAACCAAAAATTCCTTAGAAAGTTAATTCAATTAAAAAATTAAATATGCTTATACATTAATTTCCAA